CCAAGCAGTCAGGGTGTGTTGACTAAATGTCATTAGGATAAGGACAATCATAATGGTAGTTGTCAGTGTAGGATAATATCCCAGAATTTCTGGGTTCATGAGGGACTCCATGGGCCTGAGCCTGGAGTCATCAGTTAACAAAACACTCCTAGGACCTACTTGTGCAACTCTTACATGAGCACTTATGCATGTGAGTAGTCCCATTGACTTTGGTGAAAATAAATGTGTAAGTAAGCATTGCACAATTAGGTTCATAGACATTAATGGGACTTTTGCGTGAGGTACAACTGCATGAAGTATGACTGTATGATCAGGCCCTGCGTTTGTAACCTCATTTTTTCGCAATTCTGGCAGTAGTAATTATAGTGATTACTCCATGCTTCCTGTTTATGAGGTAGTAAGCCATGTCCAAAATAAATACAGAGACTGAAAGCTGAGGTGTTTGTAACCAATGAACTCAGAGGCTTTTGGAGTCCAAACTTAGCCTATGATAGGGTTATTGTTGAGTTAACGGAAGACTGAAAAGTTGTTGGTTATTGATAAAGAGAAGAACGATTGTTTGTGGTTAGAGCATTAGTCTTGGACTTTAGAGACCTGCATTCAATAAACTGCTCCACCATAGACTTCCTATGTGTCCACGGGCAAGTCACTTAGCAACTCTATGCCTCAGTTCCCTATCTGTAAAAAGTACTAGTCAGTAAATACTTCCTGAGTAACTAGTACTTCCTTACCTCAAGTAATTTAGTTGAAAAATGTGGCAAAATTATTAACCCTGTACATTTTTTGCCCAATATTATTTGACCAGCTCACCTCAACTTTCTTATCCATCAACAAATCAGTGCCAATATTGAACAATGATGATGACAGAACACAGCTGTGCCAAACTCCTGTGGCGATAGAAAACCATGTCGTGTGTCTACCATTGACTCGAACGCAGCTTTCCATTCTATCTACCTTCCAGGGATGCTGAGTCACCTCATCAGATCCCATGAACTTGCATGATGCTCTGAATCAAAGGCCTGATGGAAATCTGAAAAGTGCTGCACGGGGTTTATTAAACTCATCCATCTTCTCAGAAGCTGTCTCAAGGTACAGATCTGGTTAACAGTGGAACAATCTGGTCTAAAGCCGCCCTGAGTATCCCAGCCTTTGCTACCATGTGCAATATCGGCATTGAATGGCTGATGGATAAGCTTGAGGAAGGAGCTAACAGTGGCATCGTGGGCTGAATGTTGTTCTGCTTTGAGATCTCAAATATGCCAATGATGTTGTCTTGTAGGCTCAGTTTGGTGAATCGCTGCAGATGATGGCTGAATTAGTTAGGGAAAGAGCAGCGTGCATTGGTCTGGTTAATAAGCTGGATAAAAAGAAGTCACTGGTCATTACCATCAAGCAGCCTCCAGTTCTAGATTACAACCAGTTCAGTATTAACTTGTCCAGGCATGACACTGCGCAGGTGGCAATTGTCAAATATTTGAGCAATGTCAGAATCAGTGCTTGGAGGATGCTCAAAAATGTGGCTACTTGAATAGCAGAAGCTGCTGCCATCTTTCAGCCCCTTTAGAGGTCTCTGTGGGGATGCCATGTCATTAAACTTGCCAGCGAGCTGTGGATTTATAGAACCACAGTTATACTAACTGCAGTGTATGGCAGTGAAACACGGGCACTGAAGAAGGCTGGAGAACAATGGATTCATGTTTTTGATTCTTGTTATCTTCATCAACTGCTCCATATCAAGTGGAAGGACAAGACTGGAAATGAGGATATTTGAAGCCTAACCCAGCAATTGCCTCCAACAGCAATGAATCAGTTTTGTTGGCTTTCTTGGTATAGAAATATTATTTGAATGGAAGACCAAAAAATACAGAAGCATATGTACCAAGGAATGCTGCTACATGGCAAATGATCACATAGATGTCAAAACTTCCATGGCACCACAAGATCGCCAGTGAAGGACATAAATAGAATATACAGCCAGACACCACCTACAGCACTTTTCCAGAGATGGATCTGGGAGGTGCTCAGTTTGCACAGAGGCCATTTGATATTTGTTGAGCTCTGCAAGCAGAAAGTGATCTTGCCTTACCCCTTTTCATTTGCAGTTGTGAAAAAGGTGGTGTTTTGTCAAACAAGTCTGACTTTTTAAATTGTTTTCTGGCTCCAGTTATCCCTAACTATGAGTAGCTCGTTTCCCTTTACTATCTCACAGATGTATATGCTTATGTGAGTATTTCCTTGTATGCCTTTTTTTCAGAGTATTTTCCTCCATGTTTTCCACGTATGCATTAGAATAGAATAAGTATCATGTAAATCATAACATGAGTAAATAAATAGTGTCCTGAATGTTTGGTATTAGTAATACATTGTTCAGTGTTTCCCTAAGGCATTCATGTTTGTTGATGCACTAAATACTTTAATTTTTGGGATATACGATAAGCTATATGGTGTACTTTTAAATTTGGCAGTTTGAACCCTGCATTGCATAGACCACTATGTCATTTGAATCATTTTAATTTGAGTTTGTAATTTTGCTACAAAAAGACTGAAAGTGTTCTTTCTGTGGCCATGAAGGACCTTGGATATATATATATTTTCTCAGTTCAATTTTGCTGCACTGGAGTATGGATGGTAGGGTTTCTGGACCCCATGAAGGGTGTCTGTCTGTCTCCAGGCTGCCACAGAATCTTGCTCTCTATGGATAAATGTGCAGTGGAGTGGAGTTTGGGCACGCTGAGGAAATGTAGAGCTGATTCACCTGCTGGGGCAAAGGGATTGCTCTAAATTATGCATGTTTCCTAGCAACTGCTCTGCTGCCAGAGAATTGCTAGGGTGCATTGTGCTTCAACTCCGCCTCTTCATGCCTTCTTCCACATTCTGTGCGCAGGAGAGGGGTGGGTGGACTATGCTGCCTTTACATACCTATGCTATGGGTAGTCCAAGCTGTGTTCATATGACAACTGTCCTTCTTTGAAACGTCAGAGCAGCTCAAAGAGGAGAAACTGAGGCTAGGGTCTGTTTCATTACTTATATTGTGTTGATGTCCAAAGCTTATGAGGTTGGATCCCCATTGTGCTAGGCCCTGTACAAACAGGTAAGATTTGTTTCACAGATGTAGAGAGGGTATACAATTTAACATTTTTAGCTCGAGTAGATTTAAAAAAAAAATCTGTTAAATATACTGAGAAAATGATGGTAAAATACACAGGTTTTATTAGCACTTATTTTGGATGACCTAAGTATCAATAACTCGCTTATGCCTTTTCTGCTCCTGAGTAATGTGGTTATTGAAAACTTAGGCCAATAAAGCCTTTGTACCATGCCATACCATCATGTGTCTCATTTCTCTATATTAGATGCGTGTCTATTGATGAATACACATCTTAATATATGTTTGTCTTGTTAATCATTCTTGTGCAGAGAGAAGTAACTTCTATCAACTTTCTCCATGTAAAAATAATAAGAATGAGAAATCTCCGGAAGGCTGACTTGTGTGAGTATTTCTACTGTTCCTAGCTGTTTTTCATAGCTCTTGAAAGCAACGAGAGTATATAATAAAAGTATAATTGTCATTGGGATGTACTCAGGCATCAAGAGCTCCCATAGCACACTGTTTACTGTCAGAGTACAAGTACCCATAAGGGTGTCCAAGTATAACTAGGATTTTAAAAAGCATAAGGTACCTGACACACTACAGTCTACATGGACTACCATACTTATCAACTGTAATGTCAGATTTCAATCCTAGATCCAGTTACCATCGTCTGTATTTATTTTATGTGCTAGAAAACAGTACCTTGTGCTACAGGATACCCACAGAAACATCAGACTCCAGCATCTGAGAGCTAACTGGAGGAAAAAAGAGACAATCTTAGGGTAAATAATTCTAACATACAATAATTTTTCTAGGGTGAAAGGAAAAGGAATAATCTTTATTTTATGTCTGTGCTAGCGTATTTTGTTGCTGCAAACTTGCAAGAATTATTTTTTTGTGATAAAATATATTTTATTCTTGTTAGTTTTATGGATTTATATTTGCAACAAGGAGGACAATAGATTACCCAAAACGGGTTAAAAGGGTGAAATGATTCAGTGGTTTTTAGGATTAAAAAAATTTCACTATGCCAGATTTTCTTTCAAAAAATATCAGGCCTCAATCCCAATCAGAAAGACATGTATGAAAGAGTAAAGAACTGATTGACATACTTTTCATTTAGAAACCTGAGTAAACTCTAAACAATCTCAAAGGGGGGAACCAGATAATACAAATTTTAATGCAATTTCCTTTAACATCAAAGCTCAAAAATAAACACAAAGAAAAACACACCCGAGTTCTTCATATAGAACATTTTTGAGACAAGTAACAAAAAAGAGAAAGCTACGTGCAGAAGATGTGGTAAAATGCAACATGCATGGAAAAGGTTCACCACCCACAAAGCTGAATAATATAAGAGTCAGGAAAAAGAACACTATATGCCACTGTGTGGACCTTAAAAATAGGTGGAAGTGATGCACAGTGAAGAAGAATCAGGGAAAGGAAGCTGTCCACAGCAGAGGTAATTAAAGAACAGTGACTATTTGATCACAGCACTAGAGATAATAGCATAGAGGAAACCTTCACAATAGAAGTGAAAAGAAAAGGAGTACTTGTGGCACCTTAGAGACTAACCAATTTATTTGAGCATGAGCTTTCGTGAGCTACAGCTCACTTCATCGGATGCATACCGTGGAAACTGCAGTAGACATTATATACACACAGAGACCATGAAACAATACCCCCTCCCACCCCACTGTCCTGCTGGTAATAGCTTATCTAAAGTGATCATCAAGTTGGGCCATTTCCAGCACGCATAGTGGTGGGATTAACCTGAAATCAATTTGAGATCGAGTTGAGATTTTTTGAACTAGAAATACAGATTTTAAAAAGGAAATTGTTTTTCCTTTGGAGCTGCTGGAAAAGCAGCTTGTTTTCTCTCTGCTTTGGAGCCAGAGCTGAGACAAAAGGGGATTATCTTTGTGAATTGCAGGTTTTCTTTGCCTGGAGGCAGGGTACTTAACTCCTGCAGGGAAATTCACAGTCTTCCAACCCAGAGGTTTGTTTTTTTTTCCCCTAAAAGTAAATAGGGAGGGGGGTGTTCTACCCATTTGCCTCGAGACAAAAGTGGCAGGGTTTTTTTTTTAGGATTTTGATTTTTTTGTTTTACAAGGAGCACAGGTTTGAAAAGGAATTTTTTTTTTCCGTTGGGCTGCTGGTAAGCAGGTTTCCAAGTAGTTGGAGGTTTTTTGCTTTGATTTGGGCCCAGAGCAGAGACAAGGGAATTGTCTTTTTCTGTAGGCTGACAATCACTATCGGAGATAAATTGGTTAGTCTCTAAGGTGCCACAAGTACTCCTTTTCTTTTTGCGAATACAGACTAACACGGCTGTTCCTCTGAAACCTATCAGAGAATAGGTATTCTATTCCAGCACAGCAAAATTTTACAGCCAAGTTTTGTTTATTTCTAAACCTTGGGTGTAAAGTTAGTTAAAACAGAGAGGTTAGAATGATAAAATCCACGGCTCGACACAAGCTCTGGAAATGGCCCAACTTGATGATCACTTTAGATAAGCTATTACCAGCAGGACAGTGGGGTGGGAGGGGGTATTGTTTCATGGTCTCTGTGTGTATATAATGTCTACTGCAGTTTCCACGGTATGCATCCAATGAAGTGAGCTGTAGCTCACGAAAGCTCACGCTCAAATAAATTGGTTAGTCTCTAAGGTGCCACAAGTACTCCTTTTCTTTTTGCAAAGACAGACTAACATGGCTGTTACTCTGAAACCTGTCACAATAGAAGTGGTAACAGAGTTCTACCTTTGTCTGATCATGGCAGTCCTGGGATTGGGAATGCAGATCCATCTTCTCCTCTAATACATCTTAGTGAGAAGTAGCTTTCTGAAGATTGTGATAATAGATCAGTGATGGATTTAGATGCAAATTAAAGACTGATAGCCTTAGAAAGCAGGGAACTTGTAGTAAGTGGAAAATAAAGTTAGCTCACTGTGTGGATACTAATTTGACTATCCCAGCAAAGAATTTGGTCCCCCTCTGGGTTTAAAAATATCCTGCTAATGGGAGAGCTTGCAGATGGCTGATGCTCAAGTCAGGAGGTATGAGCTGCTTTTCCTCAGAGCAGGTTTTGTATGGCCCAAGTCCCAGGCTGCAATGAAACCTATTGAAATGCCATTGGTAAATGTGACAATGCAAAAGATAATGATCTGTGTGGTCACTTTGTTCCTGAATTTCTGAGTAGTGCATCAGGTTCTTCAGAGAATCCTGAGCTACAGAATGTGGAAAGGTAGAGAAAGAAAGAAGTAAAATAAAGAAAAGAAGAAAAAGGAAAATGCCAGATATAAAAACAAAGGGAAGAAAAAGAGAGAGCCCAAAATCAAAGAGAGAGAAAGCGAGAAAAAAAAACATTGTTAGAGAGCCTGCTGAATATGACTCAGAATAATCTTGTTGGTAGACTGGGAGGTTCAGGTCGTTTACCATGTTCTTCTGTTAAAATTTATATTCAGCCTTATTGATATTAATATGTGTTATAAATTAAGATTATAAACAAGTCTAAATAATCATGGTTTGGGAAGAATGTTTTTGGATTTGGCATGTGCTAGAAGGCACTCAGTTAATTCGAGCGTAATTAATACACCCAGAAGTAGGGCTGACTAGCTTGGTCACTTCCTGATTATTGCTAACCTTTGCTGCAATCACATGTGACTGTGCTTTTTGCTCCTACCTGACCCACAGTATGACACTGGTAAAGTAGTATGCAGGGTGTTGTAGCTGTGTGGGGCCCAGCATGTTACAGAGACAAGGTTGGTGAGGTCATATCTTTTATTGCAGGGGTTCTGAACCTTTTTCTTTCTGAGGCCCGCCCAACATGCGATAAAAACTCCACCGCCCAGCTGTGCCACAACAATTGATTTTCTGCATATAAAACCCAGGGCTGGCATTAGTGGGCAGCAAGCAGGGCAATTGCCCAGGGCCCCCCGTGAAGCTAATTTCCAAAGGCTTTGGCTTCATCCCTGAGTGGCAGGGCTCAGGGACCTGGGCTTCAGCCCCATGTGGCAAGGCTTCAGATTTCTGCCCTGGTCCCCAGCGAGTCTAACGCTGGCCCTATTTGGCAGCCCCCCTGAAACCTGCTCGTGGCCCCCAGGTTGAGAACCACTGTTTTACTGGACCAATTTTTGTTGGTAAAAGACAAGTTTTCAAAATTACACAGAGCTCTTTTTCAGGTCTGGAAAATATACTGAGAATGTTGCAGCTAAATACAAGGTGGAACAGATTGTTTAGCAAGAGTAGTTAAAACAACCACTCGACACTAAAAAGTCATGGACTTAAGCCATAAATCCAGTGTCTCTGTTGTAATGATCTACAAAATCACTATGACTGCAGAGGTGTTAATTAGCCACTTCACATTGAATGGTCCCTTGAAATATGTGTTAACTACTTATGCTAAACAATCTGTTTCATCTTTTATTTAGCTGTGTACATTTCTCAGACCTGAAGAAGAGCTCAGTGTAATCTCAAAAGCTTGTCACTTTCACTCACAGTTGGTCCAATAAAAGATATCACCTTATCCACCTTGCCTCATTTAGGGTGACCAGATGTCCCGATTTTATAGGGACAGTCCCAATTTTGGGGGCTTTTTCTTATATAGCAGGGGTGGGCAAACTTTTTGACCTGAGGGCCATATCTGGGTGGGGAAGTTGCATGCAGGGCCATGAATGTAGGGCTGGGGCAGGGGTGTGGGAGGGAGTGCGGCATGTGATGTGCAGGAAGGGGCTCAGGTCAAGGAGTTGGGGCAGAGGAGGGATGTGGGGTGTACAAGGGGGCTCAGGGAAGGGGGTTGGGGTGCAGGAGGGGGTGCACAGTGTGGGAGGGGGCTCAGGGCAGTGGTGCAGGGAGGGGTGCAGAGTGTGGGGGGGGCTCAGGGCAGGGGGTTGGGGTGCAGGAGGGGTGCAGCAGAGGACTCAAGGCAGAGGGTTGGGGTGCAGGAGGGAGTGCGGAGTGTGGTGGGGGTTGGGGTGCAGGCAGGGGGCTCGGCAGGGAGTTGGGGAGCGAGGTGCAGGAGGTGTTTGGGTTCTGGCCCGGCGCCACTTACCTGGAGCATCTCTGGGGTGGCAGCAGCGCACACTAGGGTCAGGGCAGGCTCCCTGCCTGCCGGCACCGCTCCAGGAAGCGGCCGGCACCACATCCCTGCAGCCCCTAGGGGTGGGGGCAGAGGGCTCCGTGCTCTGCACTTGCCTGTGGGTACCTCCCCCAAAGCTCCCCCTGTCTGCGGATCCCCATTCCTGGCCAATGGGAGCTTTGGGGGAGGTACTCACAGGCAAGAGCAGCGCGGAGCACTCTGCCCCCCCTTCCCAGGGGCCTCAGGGACGTGGTACTGGCCGCTTCCCGCAGCGGGGCCCACTGCGCCATAGGGGTGGCAATCCTGTGGCCGGTTCCAAAGCCCTGAGGGGCCGGGGCCGGATCCCTGTTTCTAGGTAGCTATTACCCCCCCACCCCGTCCTGATTTTTCACACTTGCCCTCTGGTCACCCTAGCCTCATTGGTAATGTAACTGTCAAACCACTGTCAGGCACGTCTTATTCTCAGGTTTTAAAGGTGGAATAATCTAAAGTTTTAGCATCTTGTAAAGGACAAAGAAGGGAAATACCCTGAGCTTGGGCACAAAAAGAATTATATGTAATACCAGCAACAAAGTGTTACAAGATGAGAGCATGATGCAGGGGTTAACCCTGTGTTCACTAGCTTGGCCTCTTCTGACTTGTGTGGTCTTGTGCGGAGATCAAGATGAGTGATTATTAAGTGTTGTTAAGGTGAGAGAGTGATAACAGTGGTGCTGGAACACTTTTAATAGTGGGGGGTGAGCCCCCTTGCCCCTGTCTGCCTCCCCCCTGACCCCGAGCTGGGGCCAGGAGCAGGCCGTGTCTTCCAGAGGGGGCGACTCAGACAGGGGTAAGGGGGCTGAGGCGGGGCCAAGAGCAGAGTTCCAGGTGCAGGACTGGCAGCTGGGACCCCATGTGTGTGTGTATACGTGGCAGCGGGGACCCTGCATAAAATCTGGGGGTGCTGCAGTACTCCCTGCACCCTTAGTTCCCACACCTGAGTGATAATTACGTTATATGTTACTCTAGAGGATTCATAGATTATAAGGCCAAAAGGGACCACTGTGATGGTATCTTTACAGATTGGTTAATTATTGACCTTTAGTTTCTATTCGCTGAAGATATCTTGCAGGATTCTCCCACACCCCTCCTAGAGTTTAAACGAGTTTTCATTGCAGGTGATTCTGTTCAGATCTGTGCAGAAGTAATGGTAGGAGGGAAGTGTGGTTTGCATATAGTGGTTTTGGTGGTGAGTACAGCTGGTCAGGAAATGCTGTACTCAGGAAATGGGTCAGGAAATGCATTTTATTTCCCACAAAACTTTTTGAAGAATAGTTCCATTTTTGTCAAAATTTATCACTCAATTTTGTGTTTGCTGCAAAATTGACAATTTTCTTGTTTTTTAACAAATGAAAACCAAGCATTTTTGGTTTTAGTTTGTTGAAAATTTCCATTTTTTATCTAAAACAATTTTTGGTGAAAAATTTTCAGTCAGGTCTGGTGCTGAGTTTGGGGAAGGGAGTGCGGGAAGGCTCGCATCCCCACTAGTGCAGAGTTAGCCATGTGATATGTGTTGTCAGTGGTATATGATGGTTGTTCCAGTGGTGGAGTCTGTCTGTCTCTCTCTCTCTCTCTGGGAGGAGGAGGAGTAGAAAATATATACTGTTAGATCCCTTCACTTTTCATTCCCTTGCTTTTATAGTTTTGTGTAAGGTATGTTATGTGCAAAGCAACTTTAACACACACACAGTTTAGTGGTTTGCGTAAATATGAATGTATGTGTATGTGGAGGTGTTTGCACATAATTATTTTTCTGATTAAAAATGTTTTAAAAAAAAAGCTAGTTAGATATATAGAAGCAGGAAAAGGGCCTAGAGGTGTGTTTAGTGGATTGTAAAATGGTTGGGGGACCTATCTTATAGCACCTGCCTCTTACCAGACCAGACTTTGCTCTTGTTGAGTCAGCTCACTCCCTGGGTTAACTCTGTCTGAGCTCTCTGAAGGAATCTAGGGAAGCAGTTTCCAGCAGGGTTAGCTATTTTATTTAAGCCTACTTAACAAAGAAATCAAAACCTTGCAGACTCTTCCCTCAAAATTCTGTGCAGGCCGAGTAGTCCCTCCCTCAATTCTCCCTCTCATGCCAGCAACTTCAGTAACCAAAATTTCCTGGCTCTTACCTCAGAGCCTCAGCAATGAAGGACTCCACACACTCCCTTCTGTCCATTTGATTTTTGGAGCAATACCTCTCTGTAGTGCATATCTCGAGTAGCAGTCCATTGGGAGATGGCTCCTGGTCTCTCAGCTTTCTGGAAGGTGTTGCAGTCCACCCTCTATTTCTTGCTGTCCTCTTTTATAAGGGTC